TGGTGAAGCAGCAGGACTGGGTCGCCATGGGTAAAGGCGTTGGGGGGTTCATGGTCCGTTCAAGGTTCCTTAAAACATCATGTAATACTCATAATCACCCAAGACCAGCAACAGCAAACAGACATCCTTGGACACTGCAATTCTACACCCTGTTGGCCCCTTCAATTCGAGGCATCTTAAATTGGGCAGTATCGCCAATATCCATCCAATGAGGCGGCTTATATGGCTTACAGCCAATTTAAGTAATCTGAACTGTGCAAAGTACATTCTTCCCTTCAAACGTCATCCCTGGTTATTGAGTATAAAGAAGCTTTCCAGCGTGCAGGTTACAAAATTCTCAATGCACCCCCGCGCTGCAATGAACGTTTGTGTACATATCTATCAACCGAAGATGAGCCTTTAGACCCTTGAAGACGCCAGGCCCCTTTTAGGACTTCAATATTGAAGCCAAGCCAATTCAGCCCAGGACAACCCCTTCCCTGCCCCTATATAGCCACCTTTCTTGCACCCTCATGTTTTCGCGTGAAACATTGATGGATGTTTTACTCGAAAAAATCGGAACGGTTTTGCTCTTTCCACCCTCAAATGTGCCCCTGAGACGGGTATTTGAAAAGCTACAAACATGGCCAGGTATTAGCTGCAACTCCATATATGGGGGGAGGCAAAAGTTCAAAACCTGAAGGTAATCCGTTAGAGAAAACACCCGGCTTTTCAGCGCTTTAATTCCTTCCCCTATAGTCCTCCGAATGTCCCCGTTGAGGTCGGCTTTAATCCCCACAATGAGGGAAGTATCTATACATATATATATATAGATACACATATATAGCAATGCGGTTTATATACAAGATGGTAGGCAGATATCTATATAGATATGTATAGTATATAGGGCCCAAAGGTATATATATATATATACATTTTACTGTCTGTATATATGCACATATATCATTATTTTCGGCCAATACATACACGCATATTTAGGTGAAGTATATCTCAATATTTGATCTTCGTATACATAGAGCTCCCGGACCAATGATTTTGTATTTCTTTGCGCGCAGGACCTGGGACTGACGTGCCCGCGATCGCACGAGCGAGCGACGAAGATGAGACGCAACCCATGGATATCATGACTGCCCCATCGCCTCCCCCATCGAGCAAACGCAGCGCGAGCCCCATGAAGCCAAGTGATACTCTTCGGGACGAGTACCAGGCAAGGTCCGTTCCCCGTACAATCCCTACACCCCAGAAGTGGTGGATCCGACCTCGCGAAGCTCCACGGATCCCTTCACACCTGATGAGAAGGCATCTCGATCCAGATAATTAAATATATTGTGCTTCTACAAACTTTCTGCTAGCAAGATCAGTGTTTCAAAATCCGACAACCCCATTTTCAACAAACACCAGGCCTCAATCTTGGAGAAGCTTTGCTTTCAGACGCGGGTCAAAATAATAAGGCTTTGGAGAACCCGGTCAACAGGATTGACCAGCTCAAGCTTCGCAACGAGCAGAAGCATGGGGCAAAGGCGGATGTTGGTGAGGATGGCTCCAAGGGTCGAGGCCGCGGCAGAGGTCGTGGCCGCGGCAGGGGTCGTGGACAACGTGCTTCGAAGGCTTTGCCAGCGCAGGCCGAGGCCGAGGATTACACGGACGAGCAGTGGGATGCTTGGCTTGCTTCTCAGGGCTGGGATTCTCGTGACGAGTATCTGGAATGGCAAGCTTGGCAAAGCGAGCGTGAAAAAGCCCGGGCCGATGACAAGGTCGAGCGCACCAGTGACAATCCGAAGCCAAAAGGCAAGGCAAAGGCGAAGGCAAAGCCTTCGAAGCAAACCAAAGCCCAGCAGAAGGCCAAGAAGGACAAGGCTGCTGCTGACGAGGAGGTGGGCAAACCCGAAGATGAGCAGGCAGCTGAGCCTGAAGAAGATGATGCTCCTGCAACGTTTGCCCGCAGGTATCAGCCCTTGTGAGAGCTGCCCAAAGTTCAGTGGCAGGCGACGCGGTCCTCGTTCATCCGCTATGTCAAGCCCCGACTCCAGCCCCCAGGTATCCACGAGGCAGGTGAGTAGGAACATTGAGGGGCCATGATTTCTTTGGAGCCCTCCCGGCTATTTTCTTGCATATGTACTATTTACTCGTGTAAGCGTATGTATGTTTCGCTCCCCATCACTGTCCTGAAACATGCCCTTTGCCCTCCAGGCGCCGTTCTGGAACTACAGCATGAAGGGGATGGGCGAGTTAGCAGTTGAGGTTGATTCCAATAATACGCAGCGTGTTACGGACAAGCTAGCGAAGCAGTACGTCCGCGAGCATGAGTGAGCTTCAAACTTCCCAAGCTCAACGTAGAGATTCCAAGGTTTTGTTTGCTTACAAACAAAATTATGTAGGGGCCCAAGGCACCTAGCAACTTGCGCATGCCATCTTTGGCAGAAGTGCGTGCTGTCAGTGACGTGGTTCATAGCGACCAGTCGCGGGGTGTGACATGCCCACCCGCGGAGGATGATGTTTGCGCTTGTTTTAGGGATTTGCCTGGGGAAATCTCAACGCAAAGCTCCCATGAATATCCATCATATTTGTGTTGCATTATAGCTCCTTATATTCACGTATAAGTGAAATCCTCTTCCTGCCCAAACAAAGCTTCGTCTAAACGAGCTATGCCGAGTGCATCAGAACGAGTATCTAGCTTGATATAACTATTTCACATGTTTCTTTGTGTTTTGGGGGTGCGCTACATACATCCCAAACCAGGTAACACTCCATATACTGTACACAAGTGGGGCTTGAAGGCTTCGGAGGGTTGCTACATTCCGCGTAGTATGTGTATATATAAAATGTTTATAGGACCGTATCCATCATGTATATAGGGGAAGGGCTAATCTCGTCGAAGGATAGTATCTACATAACCTTGGGCCGTATAGATACCGTGCACTTTTATGATTTCGGCACGTGGGTATCGAATGGAGCCGGCATTCTGTTTCTTCAGCCATGCTCACAAAGGTTGATTACTTGTAGCCTGTGGTTGTATGCAGTTTTGTATGTTCATATATATATATATGCTTATACATTATGGGTCTTAGAATATATATATATATACCCTATATACACTCGTTGAATGGAAAGATCGGTCTGGTCTCAGGGTATCCGAACCAGAATTATTGACATTATGTGGACCAGATTTTGAAAGTACAGTACTTTGGGTAGAGATGGCGGTCAACGTCGTTTGTGGTGAATTTCCCCGGCAATGTATGGGCAATGTGCGGCAAAATGCCACTCAAATCCTTTTGGCGGCTCCTTTAGACACTTTAAGCTGCCAAGCTTTCAAGAAAGATAGTGATGATTCATGGAGCTCGTGCTTGCAAGTTGGGGAGCGCAGGCAGAAACAAAAAGGCTTCAACGTGTGCATCTCTTGCGCGAACACGCATTGCTCTTTACAGGTGCACAGTCCAACCTTAGATCGAAGCAGTTTTGCCGCAGCTCATAACAGGTCCTAAAAATGTTGTAAAAACGCGTATGTGTAGAACGTTTTGATCAAAGAAACCTTTCGAGAGATTGCACATAGGTGTTTTGGAGGCGCTCAGTCAAAACAACCCACAACACGTGTAGATCCCGACTCCCCCTTTGCATATCGGCTTATCCCGGCTTTGGTTCTTCAGGGTCTGTCTATATTCTTCAAAGTCACGCCCAGGTCAAGCGTCGTGGGGCCATCTCCAAGCTTCGCCTGGAGCGCATCGAGAAGAATCGTTCGGCCAGACATGTTTACCCTGCTCAGGGCTTGTGGACAATTTCAAGTTGAGTATGATCCAGTCTTTTACAAAACACAGACAGGGGTTCCCTCTGCATTCATCCAAGTACGTTCCTCTCATTGCAACAAAATTGTGACCTTAACTGGAAGCTGCGACTGGCATTTTTCACTGCTGTTGCCAGCCTTTAACCAGTGGAGTTTTGGGAAGGGTTGCTCAATGCCTGCTGATCCAGCTTGCAGACCGAACTAAGCTATTGCATGTGTTGCAACACACGCGGACGACTGATAGATACGCAGCAGGGCTTCAGATTGGTCAATTTGGGCAAATTTGCCATGATTTCTTTGGACGCCTTGCTCTGGGGCCTCAAGAAGCTTGGGGTGCCCAAGGCCCGTAACTGGATATAGGGGTTGAAGGTAATATTAATTTGAGGGAGTACTCCAGCTTCTGCGTGACCAAAATAAAGCCTTTCGATATGGTAACAGGGCCTCGTGTGATCCACTCCAGTCCTCACGACAACCCTATAAGATCGCTTATTGAAGGTCAACAAAGTCTCCCTCAGGTTACGGTCAAACTGAGGGAGACTTTTTTGACCCTCAAGAAGCAATTTTGACACACAATTACTTGTATCTTGGGCCCCATATAGACCCCTTTTCAGACCCCATGATACCCCTAAGATCGCTTCTTGGAGGTCAGTAAATAAGTCTCCTTCAGTTTAAGGTTGACACCCCAGCACCAATTTTGACCCACGAAAATTGCTTTCTTGGGCTCCTAAACCTTCTTCCAGAACCCAGGCATGTAAACCTTAAAATACCTAAGTATATATGGGTCGCAGGGGGCTCTGTTGGCGATATGGTAACACATATATAGGTATATAGTGTCTGTGTTTCAACCGCTTGTGGAGGTTTCTCGGGTTTGGGGGAAGGGTCTTCAGAAGTGTCATCCTATATATAGATGAAATCCCGTAATCAACGTGCCTCAGGTGGGCCTCTTATATAGAAAGTCATAATCATATACAGGGGAAGATGTTTACCTTGTTACAAGTCCCAACTACAAATCCCAGGAACGCGCTGCTGCACCCGCAATTTTGAAGTGTAATATCTGTTCTGTCCTTATCACCTGATAAACGCGCTTTGTGACATTGAATACAGCAAGAACTCAAAACCATTGCGCGCATGCCAGTACGTGCTCCCCTAGAACAAATTACAACCTGTCGCCCGACAACCCCTGTTGCGAAGGAGTTCGTCTTGTGCCTCGTCCTTCTGGCCTTCAGTCAGCCTGGGCGCGAGCAACCAGCGCAGGCATGGTCTCGCTTGAGTAACGGGTTTGTTTGCAGTTTGCGGCTTTTGAAACGTACTTGCCGACAAAAATACACGGGGAATCTAAATGGGGCGGTTTAGCGTTTATATAGGTGTATAACCCTATATAGGGTTTAGGGTTTAAGACTGTTCATGATCGCTTGGAGTTAAGGCTTGGAACTTCCTGGAATTCTACGCAGGGAAAGCCAATGTTACCTTCTCGGTACGACAGCGTGGGTATCGCGCAGGAAAGTTGGACTTGGTTTATGGACCTACTGGCAAGGGGGGAAGAAAAAACTACATGGATTTAACTAGCCCCAGCGGCTTCTTGCTCCGTGGCTGTATTTAGTAGCCATTCGAAGCGCGTACATTTCTGTTTTGCAGAATTCATTAATTGGCAACACGTTTCTAACTCCAGCAAAGGATAGTTTTTCCCTCCGACGCGTGATTTCATCCTCTGTGTGTAAGGCTAGCTTGCACTTGTCTTCTACATTGCGAAGAAGATTCGTTCATGGCGTTATTTGCTATCAAATGCTCGAGCTTTTCGAAGATGAACAGGGGCACTTCCAAAAGGGCTGAATGCAGGGCTGTTGGCTTCACGGACCACCGCTCCGTCAAAGAAGCAAATCAACTACTTGAGCGGTTCCTCGGAGTCAAATTGTACATGGGTACCCATCTATCGGAATCAAGCCTCAGCCCAAACGCAACCCTCGAGTCCTCAACACCTCCTGCTTTGCCAGGACTTGCCTTCTTCTTTACTTGACAACTGCTTTGGCGGGTATATGGCTGTTGGAACAGCCATCAGGTTCAGTGCTTGAGTATTATCCTTCGTTCCGGCAGCTCCTACTGAATCACTTCCTAATGAACCAGCGGGCAGCGGCCACCTAACTACATAGCACATGTGTGTTGCACCTGTATAATTTTCCTTGCAATCGGAAGGTCCGCAAAGAAATCCTTAATGTTTCTAGTGTAAAGTCTATATACGCCAATGATCTGTGTGCAATCTACAAGGTGTGGAAAGCTAGCTGGTGGATGGGATTGTACAATGGGCCTACGCCCAAGCGTCATTGGGCCTGGAGTAACTCTGAACGGGTTGCTCTTCTTGAGAGGGGAAAGCTCAATCTGGCTCGCTTCAAAGCCCAGCAGAAAACGCACATTGCGACTGCGGTTCGTAAACGCAATAGCGATGGCAAGATGACCTATCAAGGTACAGCAAAACTCCAGGAGACCCAGCCACTTCATGTGTGTTTAGCAATCCGGTTTATACATGGACTCCCTTATATGGTTATAAGGCTTATCAAATTCCCCTCTATATATATTTATGAATATATGTCCCTTACTTAGTGACCCCTTATCAAAAGGAAATGCGCTTTAAAATAAGGCCCCAGCCTTAATTGTCTGCTTCGCCCGACCCAAGGGTTTATCCAATGGCTTTCGCCCGCCACCTGGCCGGCAAGTTGGAGGACTTCAAGCGAGGGCCCTGCTGCAAGGTGGAACTGCCTGCTACATTGCCTTCAGCTCTAGAAACCTTCGAATCTATGTCATATGGCCAAGATCCCGACTTGTGGTCTTTCAGTGATTTGAAGGACATTTTCAAATACTTGCGGGGCGGCAAGACGCTAGAAGTCCCGCCCCAGTGGAAACCTTTTATTCCTAATTGCTTTCCCAACCCCTCAGCAACTGTCTGAGGCTACCTTGGGCACAGTTCCAGCGGTGGTAGATGTAGGTTGCAAGTGCGTTTTTTTTGGGGTGTTGGTGATAGTTTAGTTTGCCAACCTTATATATAGAAACGTACATACGGTTAAAACCTTTAAGTGGTACCCCTATATAAAACCTTTTCTAGCAAGAGCTAAATCCCAACTGCCCCTTTATGTACACCACGTGGAGGGGTCTCAAGGAAAGATTGGAAAGGGGTGTCCGTTCCGTGGAAGAGGCTTCTTAATCTCAACGACCTTGAGGCAGCGCCCTGGTTTTTTCGCTACGAGAGTAATTAGAACCAGAAAGCTGCATGGACTTCAGAGAGCCCAATCGCTCCGAATAGTATTGTGTGTATGAGTTGTTTTGGCTTTCCTTTCCTTTCTTCGTAGGTTTACGAAGTCTTGGTGCTTTTTTCTGGCAAAATGTACTCAAGTGAAGGGTTTCTTAGGGGCTGATTCAGGGCACCCCGTAAAAGCCCGTAAATTACTAGTAAAAACCCGTATTTTAGGTAGTAAAAACCCGTGAATACCCGTGAACACCTTAGCCCGAAAAAAAAAAACCTGGTTTTCAAAAACCCGTAAATTACCCGTAAATAACCCATAAATTTCCCGTAATAACCCATAAATAAAATATGGTTTTTATGGGTTTTCTACAAGTAGGCTCGGACCCCACCGCGCAGTCAGGAGAGGTGCTCAGAATTGACTTAGGGGCTAAATATGCCAGCGTTGGATTACACACGCGAGGCCGCAAACCAAAAAAACATTCGAAATCACATGCGCGCTTGTACTGGCTGCAATTGGTGTCTCGCGCAATAAAGAAACATGGTCGGATCTTCGCGTGCTTTTGTTTATTGCCGTGCTTGCTTCTCCTGACAAGTCTTGCCTGATTAGTTGGTTACCTTTAATGAAGATGAGTGGTCCGGTTGCTTCCAAAATGTGAAGTACCAGCACGCTTCTTGCTGGCGTGGAGCATGTGACGATGGATGCAGACCTAGCTGATCTAGATGCCGAAGAACGTCGTTTACAAGTGGAACTTCAGGACAGCGTGCTGGTACATCAGAAACTACCTAAAAACTTAGCAGCCATATCCTCATACACGTCTGACAAGGAGCTAGAAGCATCGCTTGCCACAGGCTCGCCAGACAAGGCCTAATAGACCCTGATAGACTTACATGGTTTTCCGTAGCACGTGCTTCAAGTCATTGCGGCGGTTTGGACTTCCGATGACTTACGTACTACACGTGAATTAATCATGGGTTGTTGCCTGAAACCACACTTACCCCAATAGATTGTCTGGTCAAGGGGAAGGCGAAAATTTGTGTTTTGGTCTTTCAATCCTGCCCACAGTTATTTCCTAATCCTGACCAACCACGTATCCTCTAACCTCGATCTGGCGCAGGCGCCGGAGATGCCGCAACGCGCAGCCTCCGACGGGGATTTGCAAACGTTGCCCGTCCCCTGACCTCACCATATAGAGACTACCTTAGGACAATCAACGAAATTTGGATGAAACCTTTCTACCTATATAAGTCGTGATGTTGACGGATTAAATTAAAATGCTCCACGCAACTTCCATGTTCTTTCCAAGCAAAATGTGATCCCATGGAGAATCTAAACTCTTGACTTGCGAGACAAAATCGGAGACCTGTCTACGTAGAGCTCGACTTTGAAGAACATTTATCCATGCCTCAATCCTGTATATACATATGTGTTTGTTCCCCAATTACGTTTGCAAAAACCCCTTATGTTCCCCTCAGTGACCCTTTGCCAAAGGCAACGGAGCAAGAGCTCAAGGCTGCTGGATTGGCTTCTAGCCCCACGCACGAGAAGTCTACCAGTGAGTTCCCTGCGATTGATTTAGACGCAACTTGGATGCCTTCAATACCTTTGAAGCACGTAAGCCTCTCGCTGGGCTAACTGCTACTTTGGGGCGTATCTATATAGGATTTAATTGACAGGACCACTCAATTAATTTTCATGTATCTGGCAGACGAAAGGAGAGAGGATTGCGTACAGGACGCAGGATACGACACATCGAGGCGTAGCTACCAAATCGAGACTTGAAGATAATCATACATTATGTTTGAATGGTTTCGGGAACTTAAGGCTTGCGATGATGCTGAGATTTCTCAGATGCTCCAAGCCCGCCTTCCCAAATGCGACAACCTCAAGACGGAGCCAGAAAATGGTTCTACTACGCCACGCCACCTCACCAAGTCCGGCCCATTGCCACACCTGCTCGAGCAGCAGCTGTGAAGGCAGAGTCCGATGGCGACCTTGCACTGGCTGCTCGGGCGGAGCCTACAACCGCAAGCGAGCCTAAGCCTAGCAAGTACTACAGGCCCATGACGCGGCAGGACACGAGTCACATCATCCCCTGTATAGCGTATATAGACCCTGAGAAACTTGCAAGTCCCTAGCAAATCAAGTGTCGGAATTTTCCTGAATTGTTGTAGGATTTGACATCAGTTTACGCAGGACAGGCTGGCCTTGGCGGCACGGGCGCGGCTGGGTAGGTTCATGCAACCCAAGAAGAAGCAGAAACACTTGGAAGCTCCAGAGGCTGTTAGGCAACACTGGGAAGCCCGGCAACAAGAAGGAAATGAGCGAGCTCTTTCGCAGCCTGAATTTCAATCGCGCAGCTTTGGCAGCAAATAAAACGCTGAACCATATAATTCCTACAACTTACAGATCTGAGAACAGCTCTGGAGTTGCACACCCCCACCCAGGAAGAATTCTGCAAGCAGATCATCGTCATTGTCAAGAAAAAGGAGAAGATTCAGATCAAGCTGGACCAGGGCTGGTACAGCGAACTTGAGATGAAGGTTGACCTGGGCTGGTCGCAGTCAGGGTCCTACATCAGCTCGATAGGTTATGTGCATTGATCTATGCTGTTTTGACCATTGATTCTCAGGTCCCGTATCAATGGGGCTGTGAAGCGGTGCCGAAGCTTGCCTGACCACGTCAGGCCCCATCATCCAACATCCCTTTACAGTCGATCTTGTGTAAACCAATAACCCATAAACCCTAAACCCATATATAAACCCCAAACCCTGTATATATGTAAGCCCCAAACCCTCAACCCTGAGAACCTATATGAGCTCTAAACCCTTCTAAAAACTCTGATTTTAAACAGAAGCTCCGACGCAAGCCGCAAATGCGCAGGACCGTAAAGCTTGTCTATGCAGATGTGTATGTGCGGGTATCCATTGTGTAAATATCTGTTGCCTCCTAAACCCTATATAAAAACCCTATAAACCCTATACAACCCTAAACCCTCAACCCTGAACCATCATGGTCCAACAACCTGCAGGCGAAATGCTTATGATGATGTGGAAGAGTTTTGGGTGACTATTCGCGAAACCGGCTCCCGCACCTCTACCCAGACGCGCGAAGAGCAGGTCAAGGAAACCAAGCAAGTTTCTTTGACGCAAACCAAATCTTAACACATCCCCATCCGCTAATGACCTCACAAAAACCCTGAAAGTTAGCTCGGGTCAGCCAAGGCCGATGCTGGTCCAGTGATTCCGGAGAACGCTTTTGATGGCCTTGGAGAGGCTGAGGCCAGGATTAAGCAGGCCAAGGCGCCTGTTTCCGGGGAGGACCAGCAGTTTGCTCAGGCTGAACCGCATCCAACCCAACGTTGTTGTTTTTTTAATATAGCGGTGAACACGTTGCCCCAAAAGATTTACGCCCTGTAGAGGTCAAGACTATGAGAAGGAGTATGACCCGGAGGACGTTTCGAAGACACTTCCCTTGGACAGTTAATCCCACTGGAAATGTTTAGGTTTACTTGGAATTGTTGCGCATTAGCTTGTATACAGATATCCCAAGTACCCTTGAAATGATCGAATGCCTATACTAACTTAATTCTGTTTGGTCTTTGCCCCACCCACTCTAAATTTCTCGTTACCCTAAGCACCCTCTGAGGAAGGTTCAGATCCTGGAAGATCAAGTGCAGCACTTGGATAACCAGCACGAGATCTGCAAGGAGCTTCAAGTCAAGGGAGAGGTCTATGGTTTTGATGCGTTGCAACTCGGCCTAAGAATGCATCTTTGTCCTCTATATACACAAATATCATTCCCATTGCCCAGGCGCAGCATTGCTGACAAATCAAGTGTACAAATTTTGGTACTTCGGGTTTGTTGTTCTTTAAGAGAAACGAATTTCTACATAGCATTGCGGGGTAGGAGGTCCCTGCTATCCACAAATTCCATATATGGGTCAATGTGTGGCAAAAGTTTCAAGTTTGAGGGTTTTTGAGGGATTGAGCATGTTCTATTGAGGCATTAATTTGATTCTTTAGATGATAGAAGGATAAGGGTCTCTATAGATATATGCATATTTGCGGGACCTGCATGACTTCAAGGGAGGTGTATTTTGCTCAAGGTGCTTTGTCTGGGCGGAATTTAGGTGGGAATTCGTGAGGAGTTTAGTGAACGTTATTCATGGGAGGGGGGGTGTTTTCGGGTCCAGTATGCATATATATATATAATCAATGATAGTCAGGGGAATGGTCTAAGCCTTTTTAGCGTTATTTGTGCTGATTTTTTAGTATGGAGTCATTACAGCCCAGGCTGTACAAGGATGCTGAGCAGAAGATGAAGAGCGCTACGTTTGTGCGACTGTGTCAGCACTGGCAAATGACATGTAACATTACGACCATGAGGTTCTCCCATGAATCTTATGGCCCCCTGTTTTTGTGCTCGTGAAGACCCTCGCCTGGCCCTCTAGATGTAGTGCGATGTTGTAACTACACACCCTCTATATACATGTGTTCCTATATATATACAAGCCCTTATAGAGCTGTATGTCTATATCAATCCAGTGAGTCTGTCTGCTATGTAACAATGTTTCCCCTGTTTGAATCGTGTACTGTATGTTTAATGGATATTTGTACAGTTCAGGTCCACCAAAGCCCTTGCCGCGGAGATGAAAATCCGGACTCTCGTTACTTAATTTCAGTTGTAGTGCAAGCCCACAACGTGTGTCCGAAAACATTCTTGGCAATCCCATCCTACAAGCATCTATAGGTATGTACTGTATACACAGACCCAAGAGACCTTCAGCCAAAGGACCCTTTGTATATAAACATATGATTATATATAGCACCCATTTCTTTACACGACACCGTATAAAAATCTGAAGGTCTTTTCAGTCTGTATATACATATATAGTATGCCCTCTTTAAACCTGAAGTTCCGTTACGAGGCCTATTCCCCAGGCATATCCTTAAGTATATACCTCCCAAGTTTTGAACCCTGTATATCTATTAGCCCTCCAATCTTCAAGTTCAGATTTTCAATCCTTGAGCCATGTTTGCTCAGGAATGAGAAGAAATTCTGGAAGAAGTTGTCCGAGGGTGAGGGCAAGCAAAGTGGGAAGCGGAAAACCCCAGCGCCAGCTCCTAAGAAGCCAGCTAAGAGCAAGAAGTAAGCGTTTCCAATTTTAGGGGGCTGCAGTGACACCTGTGGGACAACCCGCAGACTGTATTGCAGCGAGCCTGATGCCGGCAAAGCGTGATCGAGGAACCACCCACAAGCCTAGGCGCATAGCTGTTCTCAAGCAAACCTTGCGGGTCTCAGGTACTTCTTTGGTAGGTTTATTGGGGCGATGTCTTGCAATCTCACGCGCAGCAGCTGAAAGCTATCTGCGAAAAGTCAGAAGATCCCTGTGTGCTTTCACGCAAGGAAGCAGGCAAAAGTACAAAGCGTGCGGCAGCTACATACAATTTGATTTTGCATGAGCTTCGGTAACCGATTTCCCATAAAAAACCATCATGTACTGCCAGGTGCCAAGCCTGGCCACACCGTTCGCGGATTGTCTGCGCAAATCGGGGCTGGAGCTCTGACCTCAGGCCAGCGCGCTCTCCAATAAACACAACTACCATCAGACTTGAATGGTTGAGGCCCAAATGTAGCAACGGAATCAGCCCCTAGATGGATCTAGTGCGCTGTGAACCTCGATGGATGATGATGAGCGTGATCTTTTGGAGCTTCTGACGTGCCACCGCTCCGTAGATTGATTGAGACACGTAGCTCCCCCATGCAAATCATTTCTTTTGATTGTTGCCCAGGGTTTTGAAAAGACATTTCCCCGAGCCATGTAGTCCCCAAATCCTTTCTCAAAGGACAGGTTTTACTGACCCTCACGTCACCTTAAACCCCATATATAAACCCTATATATATATATATACCCTGTTTAATATATATAATATCAACCCTACATCCTATAAACCCGCACTTCCTCCAAAACGGTATTTCGTGTTCTCGTACGCATGCATGGGGTGTTCAGATTTGGCGAAACGATTAGTTATAAGTAATTGTCTACCTCTCTTATGTCCAATATTTGCTTACCGTACCCACGCCCCTGATCATTTCTGGGCCCCCAACAAAAAATCAAAGTTCAGAATTGCATTGCCCGGGGCTTTATCATTCTCGCAGTAGAATGGGTTGAGAAAGCCTTGTCCTGAGGTATGTAGAGCCCATAACATCAAGTTGTCATTTCATTCGTAGCTAGCCCCCTTAACATGTGTTGGTTACCGGGTTTGCAGAATATTAGGGATGCAGGGCTATGTAGTTGACATACATCTAAGTATGGGGTGGATAGAATACACAAAGATTCAAGGGGGTGATTCCCAATTGGCCGTTAGCCAAGCCCTGGATGTGAAAATCCACCTGAGGAAGCGGAAGGTCCTTTCCCATGGTCAATGCCTACTACTTGCACTACACCAACCTCGCCTAGCCTTAGCTCTGCTACCTCGACGTGTGAAAAAGGTGTCGGCAATCAGCCCGTCACTTGGACCCCTCCGCTTTCTACGCAACTGTCCAGGTTGGACTGCTAAGTGCAAAGCTTCAGGGACCATCGCGTTCTGCCACCCGGAGAAAAACCTGGCGGCGGGTTGCGTGCTACAACATTGTCTGAGGACCATAGATTCCATTTTTCATAAACATGAGCCGCTCATTTTTAAGGTGGGGTTCACGCACGACCCGCTGTGGAGATGGGGTAATACTCTTTACGGCTACCAGCATTGCAAGGATAGATGGTCAGGCATGTTAGTGCTCTTCGTTTCAAACGAGCCCTACTCGCCCGCTATGCTGGAGGCAGCCCTAATTGAGCGATATTCTAGCATCTGGGCAATCTCTACATGTGTACGTATTTGATCTGTTTTTGCTCTATGAAAGTCGTCTATATTATAACCCATATACTTTTTCATCCTTGCTATACCCCAGGCAGGCCTGGATGCCGCAATATCCTGAAAGGCGGCGATAACGTCAGGGAAGGCCCAGCCTCAGATGATCCGTTGTACATGACATATTTGGTGTGGCGATCCTTTAAGAAACCGCCAAGTGGTTTTCAAAACAATGGCCACAATTAAATAGCAGCACTGCAGCGTGTGAAATGCACACGTTGTATCTGCGGTATGTCAAGTCTTTATACCTGCAAGCTGGGGAGGCAAAAAAAACAATGTGGCATGGCTTCACGTGCTCTCATGAAAGCAGACTGCCGTTGTGCACAGCACGGCCCGTGTACACTGAAAGCATTCCACACGCAGTCTTTAAATTTACCGGCATTTCATTCATTGCCACTGTGCTGAGGCCAGCTGCTGTTCGGCGGTGCGGGTGGCCCAAAATGTTGTTCGCGATTTTGGGGAAGAAGCAGCATCCAGCTCAGGATTGTCAAGGTTGTCAAAGTGTAATGTGAGAAGTGCTGAGCGTGATGCCCATCGTGTGCTGTCAAAGGGATTCAAACTTACCCTGCCGATACCCCTCTTCAAGCTCGGGCGAGGCAAAAAGTTATCCCACGCAGTACTTTGCTTGAAAGACTGGATTTCTTTCATGCTCACCAAGAATTGCTGGCACATATTGACTGGACTTGTGAGACCAGATCAACAAAGAGAAGCTGACATCTTACAAGAGTTTTGGAGGAAATTCAGGCTGTCTCAACCCGAGCACCCTGTTTTCAAGCTGGAGGAAGACGGCTCCCTCGAGCTCTGCAGGACCGTGCCACTTTTATGGCACGGTCACGAGGGGCGCGGACGGAGGCGGCAACCTTTCCTAGTCACCAGCTTCCACTCATTCCTTGGACGCGGAATTCGTCCTGGTTTGCGTGCTCAGAAAAAAGCTGGCGTTCAGAAAGCATATTTGAAGCTCAAGCCGAACTTCGTGGGCCATGCATACACGCACAGAATGCTGCACACTGCTCTGGCGAAGTCTGCCTTTGAGGATGACGAAGTCTTTAGTGCGGTTCTGGATCACTGCGTGCAGCAAGCGCACTTCATGCAAACAACTGGCGTGGTGAATCCCCATAGCAAGAAGCGGCACTTTGCCATCTTGTTGGGGGTGACTGGAGATTGGGCTTTTCTATTCAAATCTGGACGCCTGAGTCGAAGCTACAGTAACGTCGAGAAGCACGTCAACGAAACAAAAGTCCCGGCAGGGATTTGCCATCTCTGCAGGGCAGGGCAGCGCGGATTTGACTTCGAGCAAATTCAAAGCAGACACTCAGCATGGCTTCCAACGTTTTGCACCCAGAGCCCTTTCTCTGAACCAGTTACTCCTTTGACCAACCTGCTACACCCTCCAGGCATGCAGGCTACAATCTTCAAATTTGACGCTTGGCACAGCTGGCATCTTGGGGTGGGAAAAAGCTTCGTCGCATCAACGTTGGCTCTCATGAGTAACAAGTACATCGGGCGTAGCAAGGACTCGAGAATGGCACTTTTGTCAGCAGACTTCATGAGCTGGTGCCGTGCCACCCGCCACACCCCGACGTTGTCGAAATTGACGGCTAGCAACATCAATTGGGAGTCCAACACGACCTTTCCCTTCGGCAGTTGGTTCAAAGGATCTGTAACTACAACACTCTGCAGCTTCATTCAGCACCAGCTTCGTCCACAAGGACCAGATATGTTCGAGGAGGATGACATGCTCGCACTTTGCAGCGAAGCGGTTTTGGCGATCAACACTGCTTTGAAGGGATTGTATGAGAACGACGTCTTTTTGCCAGCTTCAACAGCGAGAGAAATTGGTGAGCAAGGCTTGCGATTCCTCAGACGCTATGCCTCTCTGGCTCGTAAGGCTGTGGACAATGGTCAGATACTATTTTGTTTGATTCCGAAGTTACACAGCATGCACCACCTGCTATTGCAGGACTTGGTCCTAGCTTCGGAGTCTTTTGAGTTTGTAGTAAATCCGATCTGCTACAGTGTCCAACTTTCCGAGGATTTTATAGGACAGTTGTCCAGACTATCTCGAAGGGTCCATCCCTCCAGATGTTCCCAAAGGCGTATAGAAAGGCACTTGCAATTGGCTTACAGCCAGTACGTCAAAGCAGGGTACTTGGTGGAGGGCAAGGATTAGCTTCCCATATCTGCCACCTACATTTCTGTTCCCAATTAAAACCCCACAGAACCCGAGACTCGTAACAGAAACCATTATGTTGAGAAAAATCCTGCCCTTTTACCATGTTGGTCGGTATGCCCGGCTGAGCACGGGGCATTGCGCAGCTCGACGAGCATCAGGAGGAGCAAAGGCATCCAGTGCATGGGAATGGGATAGCTTATATATGAGGTTGCTATACACCTTTTTTGGGTTTGGGATGATGTAAGTTTCAAGGTGCTTTTCAGGTTCCCAGGAGTCTCTGCATGAAGGACCACCGTTCTTGAAGGGTTGAGGGCTAAAGTGTGAAGGCTAAGAGTTGAGGTTGCGGGTGATATTCTCTTTGGGGATTTACAGTACAAGGTTTCTTTGGCAGTGTTTATGAAGACGGAATGTACACAAATTAAAGCAAACGGGGAATTATTGATCCTGAGTACTCAGCAATGCTTTCATCATGACATACTTAGATTCCTCGAAGCGTTTTTAAACTTGATGGGCCAAGATCTTGGAATTGCTTTTGGGTTTTCACGGGGTTATGTCACATGTATGTAGGCTTGGAAAGCACTCCACTTACTTCCAGAGCCATTCGTTGGCCACAGCATAAACCCCTGGAATTCTGCAAAATCATAAAACCAGGTTATTATCCGGAAAACCTGGTTATTTTTGAGAACCTGCGAATTAGCAGGTTCAAGCTTCTCTAGGTAGGGTAAGCCCCAAACACTAAAACCCTAAACCGTGGCTTCGGATTTGAGCTTTACGCAGGGTCTTTTCCACTTGGGTTGGGGAACCAAAGTTTGAGGTTTTGGAGCTTGGGGCTTAGAGTTTGGATCTAGGGCTTGGGATTTACATCTTTTGAGCACGTTACTGGCGCTTAGAAGGGTACCATGAAGGCCAAGACATGCACGCACAGTTCTACAGGAGTAAGTTCATGGTTTAGGGTTCAGGGTTTAGGATTTCGAGGAGTATGTCGGATCGTGTCGGAATCTACAATCCTGGCATACAAGGACAATTCTGCTGTATCGAGTTTAGGACTTACACTGGAAACATATCAGATCTCAATGGGGACCGCACAAAGGCAACGTCCATGTACTAAACCGGACTCAGAACCCCACTAATAATCATAATGCTTGGTCGTTTTTCGGATTATAGATACCAGAAATCAG